TTTTTTTGTTGCTAATGTTCAAAAAAATGCTTCGAAAGATTTTTAGGATTATATTTCCGACAGTTCATTTAAATGATAGCTTGATAAAGCATTTATACATTACATTTTGACAAAATGCAATTTTTGAACACGTATAAATCAAAACCCTATATCTGCCTATTTCTCCACATCCCACTTTTGAACATAATCCTCATTTCGATGTAATGGGTCACATWTTACTGGAACAAGTTTTGACTGAAGAAAAACGATTAACATCTACTTAGTTTTTTTGATTACAAACTGATCAAAGCATTAAAATGTGTATTTATTGACCTTGTACCATCCCTGCATGCTGGCTTGTTAAAAACTATACTTTGGAATTKAATCCATGTTTGTGAAAACCAAATGATGGAGTTGTGTGTAACCAGGAAGAACCCGYGTGCTTTAAATGTGCACAGCTTCAGAAAGAGTCCAAATCTCACCGTTGTACAGCAGCAACAACGGGAGCAGAATCGACATCCACTTCTGCTCGATGCCCCAGTCCCTCATGGAGAACTTCCTCAATGAGTGAGCGAACATGCACTGAAACACAAAGTCAGTTAAACTTGTCCGTCCTCCATACAGAACCGGTTTATTTAAAGAGAATCGGTTTAAATCGGGAACGCTGAAAATGCTAACGTCCTGGTAAATGTTCTTACTGTCACCATGAAGGTTAGCACCACAAAAACGAACCGAAACCATATTTCCACTTGTGAGAAGGTGGGATTGTATGTTTTCCACTGAGGGGGTAAAATCAAGAGAATAGAAAACAAATAGGTTAAAAGYTTGTAAAATACGTGTACAGATAGTTTTTAGTGCTGTCATAAAACAATTATAGTTAATAAGTACTGTCTCAAAGTTCTCTCTAAACCCATCAGTGCTTCCTTTAGGCACCGTAAGCTTGAATGTAGAGGAAGAAGAGTTTTTCCACCTACCAAAAATTTGACCTTGATATCATAGGTGATGTTTACGAGACCCTTGAAGCTGACTGTAGCCTGGTATTTGGTGTAGTTCAGGTAACCCAAATGCAGCACAATGATTTCATCACATTTCTGAAAAATTAAAAAATAAATCCTTACAGGCTGCACTGCGGAAATCAGTTTAACACAGCCATCAAATTCAGTATTCATAAACTTAAGTTTGCATTTTCATCCTTTTTTTAATCAACTCTTGACACTTACAGCGCCGCAGTGGAGTGTCCGTGATTTCTGCTGCACGGTCTTGATGTGCCTCACGCTGGCGTCGTGCACCACTCCCTTCAGGTCAACGTTTATCTCAAACGGCTGCTTGAAGTCTCCAACTGACGCAGACAGCAGTAATATTTTATTAGATATATAACGGCGTAAATGATAAAGTTATCAGAGTGTAGCACTGATAATAATGTTTAAGAAAAACTTTTAACATTCAACTCCTAGGCTAAACGACTCTTCATATGTTCTTACTGTTGTTTTCAGTCTGCATCACACAGGTGAGCCACAGCTGCTGGTTGTAGGTGGTGAGAGGAGGAGAATCTAGACTAAAGGGTCCAGTCTGAAAACACACAAAAGAAACAGCAGCTTAAAGAAAAACAATGAAAATTATTATAAAACATGAAAAAAGTCAAGTCACTTGGCATTTTGATATTCTATGGGTTTTATTTTGTGTGCTTAAGCTTTTGTTGTGTTTACATGTATTTATCAGAAACTACACACTGGAAATATCTTACCTTTACAGAAGCATTTTTAATCACCAATTGWTCACCATTGTGCTCCTGCTCAAAAGTGATCTTCGGACCTACAAATAAATTTAACAACTGGATGAAGTTGGATGAATGATACATTAATGTCTTCCTGCTGAGATCTCTGCTTTTCTTTACCTGCGATTCCAACGAAGACTGTGAGGCCAAAGCAGACCAGGAACACCACAAAAACCAAGACAAAATGTCTTTTAGACAAAGTYTAGAGCCGCATGGGGGCCAGCCTGTCACCAGAAAAAGACGTTAGTGTTACAACAAATTAACAAAACCTTTCATTTGTCGCAGGCATCGTGGCCAATGCGGATGTGGAACGTAAACACACCGCTAGCTAGCATTTATGGTAGCAGATGGAAAGGAAACAAAAGTTTTAAACGTTTATTTGTCACGCATTTGTGCATCCAACACACAACTGTAGTGTGTCCGCTGGGTAGAAATACAACTCACCGCTCCATTTCTTTTAGCTGACAGCCGTGGTAGCGAGAAAAAGCGTTAAACGCTCGCCGTGAATCCACATCCGTGTAGCGACATGAGAGACGGTGAACGTCACAGGAGTGGGAGGCGCCTGGATCACGTGATCCAAATGGCAAGCCGATTTATCATATAAATTAAAAGTTAGCTCAGCTCTGAAATCTCCTATGAAATGTCATTTTTCTTTGACAAATTCTGTAACTTCTCACATTCYTGTGTATTAATGTCAATGAAGTACATTCTATCTAGAATATACCTTATTTAACTAGGAGAATCTGTACTGCCTCATTTTTACTAAACRAATAAATATTCCACAGATTTATAAGATTTTTAAATATATATTTATTTCTAATAAAAAGCACATGCATGGGAGGAACTCTGAAATTTGTATTAGGAAGAGTGTCGATTGAGATATCCAGATATTCAGCCATTTGAAATGTACTTTTTGAGTAGTTTTGATGTATGGATATCCAAAACATAACTGGTCTAAGGATTAAATAATAAAATCGCCACTTAAAAAGCAGTATATTTAATATTTTGATACCTCAAAAACATTCATTTTTTTTCCTGTAAAGTCAAAAAGTGTATTTCAGTTATTTAAAAAATAGCCAACCAAATGGGC